TCTAATTAAGAATTAATAACGTAGGCATGAGATTCGTCCTCGATCTCAGCAGTCTGCCCGTCACTTCAAACTGGTTGTTCTACCTACTTTCGAAAGAGTGATTGATGGCTCTATGCTTTATTTTTAATTCTTCTGCATGTAATTATAGTGAGAGCATTTAGCTTGTGCGATTAATTAATGTATATAAACTCTTATCTTTCAATAATGTTTATTTTTGGTATGTCATTTTTAAACAAATTTGAGTGTCATACATTGAAAACATTTTGTGTATACAAACTTATAAATTTTGTGGATCCTTGTGTAGCAAAATTTATTTTGCATGCTTGAAGTTTATTTGTTAGCAGAATTAATTGGTTCGCTTTCTAATATAAAAATAAATATTCTAAAATGATTTATTAATTTATTTTTTTATTAAAAAATTGTTANTTGGTCCCCCTTACCGTATTTCAAAGGAGGGGCGAGGAAACGGAATAGGAATAAAATGGGTCCCGTTTTTTGATAGACCGGCCGGATTGCGCGCCATCTGTTTTCTAATAAAAGCGTTTGGATTGCGCTTATTCCCAGCAACATCTGCCACTAATAGTTTTTTACGGGGAGGAGGGCATCTGTTAACTCCCGGAGCACCCATCGTCCCGTATCTGGCGACACCAACAAAAGGGGTTAATCGAATTAGAAAACGATATCCTCCGATGTAGTCGCGCTATTGTCTCGGGTTTTATTGTTCCCGCTCTAACAACTGTCGTATGCGACCGAATAACACGTAACGCGCCACAGGAAGTTACGTCGTTACCGATCGACGTTTCGCGGGGGAGAGAGACACTTTGTTTACTTCCGCCGTGGTTGGTTATTGCATATTTGGAAAATTTCTTAGGAAATGGCGCGCATAAAAAGTCCACCTCCGGGGCGATGCCGCGGCATATGCGACTCCGTTGTGCGCGCTCGTAACATCTGTCCTTCCACCCTACGGATGCAGTCGGCGGGGATAAAAAATTGATTACTTTTATGTAAAACGACGGCTGGCTCGACCCGACGCCCTCCTCGTTATCCCGCTTTATTATCCTTCGATTCGCCCGGTGACCCGGGACGCGTTTCGCATCTGTTCGACCTCTCTCGCGCCACCCCGATGCGACGCAGCCGAATACCCCGTCGTAAGGGTTTACGACACTCCTCTCTCTTAACCGATATGGATATTCGACGTTAAGTCGGGGTCGTTAAATCGCACGAGATGACCGCGCGCCGGGCCGTAACCCAGTTACGTCCGCTTCTCCGACGGATTTAGCGGGGTCGTAAAAGCCAACGGGTGGCGCGTAACCTCTCCCCCGGCGCTACGAGGTGACGGTAAAAGCGATTTTATTAGTACCCGGCGAGCGGCGAGATTTTTTATTTTTTTCCGGCCTTCTACACCGAATAAGTCGGCCGGGCGACCTTAAACGAGAGGAAGATCTCGGGGGACGTCGTCACTTTCACCTGTACCGACGGCGCGTGGCGCGCGTTTGGCTCTTCCATAAATCACCTCGGGTCTTCGGGAAGATGGGTGGAGTCCGGGTTTCGGAATTATTCAACGCGGTGCTCCCCGCGGGTCTCGTTTAATATTTATCGGATAATCAGTTTTTCCGGGCCTGGGAGGGGGCGAGAAACTCGGGGGTTATAGCCGGGAGCGACGCCTACGACGTTTGGACTCGTCCTTCGACTCCGATTAGATTAAGGTCTTTGTTACTGTAGAAGTTTGACCGATGGGTTTCAATAAGGAAGACCTAGTTAAACGTCATTCTACTTTTTTATTACTGTTTCGGGGGGGCTGTAATTTGCTGCTGCTGCTCCTCCTCCTCCTCCTCGCACGGACCAGCTAACGCGTTAGCGGCTTCGGAATGTTTCGGCAAATCGCCATTAGAAAGAAAAAATGAATTGCGCATAGGGTGGCGCCTTCCTCGTGCAGCTTGGTTTAAACGGAGATGCAAATGGTAACGGTTTGGTAGTCTTTCTTTTCTTCTTTCCTTATCAAATCCGAGTTTGGGGGAGGAAAACTCTGTCTCCTTTTTAACATAATAAAACGTTTAGGAGGAGAGACGCGGCCGCCGGCGCGTTTCTCCTCCCCCACAGGCTACATTTCGGATAATCTTCCGATAGAATGGGTAACCGCAGACGCAACAAATTCCTCTATTGTGGGAAACCAGTCGTTTTTTAAGGCTTTCGACATTCCCCTGGTTTAGAAGATGTTTCTTTCGCTTTCGGTCGCGACGGTTTCGTAAGTAGGCGCTTGGAGCGTGAGAATCGCTTAGGTTTAAATCCGAAGAGTTCGGATTCGAACTCCGTCCTATAGTGGGACGTCTCGTAAGTGGCGCGGCTAATTGAATGTTTTCAAATACCTCCGAATCGGCGAAGCGACGCGGTCGTCTCGGGTCGCCACTCCGAGAAGAACACCGCCTTGCGGACTTTTGTTTCATTTCGACGACCAAGGGTGCGACAAGATTCGGAGACGAGAGTTTTGACTTTTCGCCGGGTGCCGCTTTGCATCCTCTCGTGCTTGGCCTCCGAAATTTCTGGCGGTGTCCACCTCGTAAAAAAAAAAGGCCACTGCAGTTTTTGCCAGTTTATTGTATTTGGAAACGTTGGACGAGATGCGGAGAGAGATGGAAAGTGATTCTCCACCACCAGTATAGCCTATTTGAATAAGTAATTAGAAAAGAGAACCTCTTTCTGGTCTCGGCTCTTAAAGGCTTTTCGGATTAAGCAATAATAGAAATTTCTTGTTTTCCCCGGGCGTTTATCCTCTTCGCTTCCTTTAATTAGTCAAAAACCGTAGCGCAAAAATTCGCTGGTGCCATTTTCTCCCGGCGTATCGATAACCCGAAGTCCGACTTTCGGCCGGATCGACACCTAACCCGCTTTTTTTAATCCGCAATTCCATTTTAAAGCTAAAACTCGATAGAGAGATAATAATTAACGGTATCGATTCGGAAGAAAAATGGCCGTTGGTCGTCAGAAGGGAGGGTGTAGCCGTTGGCACCCTTTGCATTCTAACGTAAGTAGGATCCGCCGATTTACTAGTTGAGAAGTCGGCCGGACGATAAATTTTTTGCTCGTTAAAAATAATGACGATTGGCGATTGTTTCGCTACCACTTTCTCCCGTTCGTTACCGGTGGCTTAGACATTTCGTCCGCCTGACCTTGGCCACGTTCGGATGCCTCCGAAGAACACCCACCAGTATTATCCACGAGTCCCGATATAACACTGTTGATAATTCCGTTTTATATGAATTCCATGTTGTACGAGTCACTTAGATTTTACAAATACTTGAGCCGTTCACAGCCCGGAACACGTATTTGTAAAATCTAAGTGACTCGTACAACATGGAATTCATATAAAACGGAATTATCAACATTGTTATAGGGGGGTCGACTGTACTTCTACGCTTTCCTTTCTGCTTAATGCAATTCCGGTAATCGTCGGAGCGACTTTCAAATTTCGGATGAAATTCCTCTGAGTTTGGTGACCACGCTTCGAAACTGTTGGTGGTTTGATGGATGAACCCGACTCCCTGTCGGTTAAATAGTTTTTTCTTTTTTTTTTTTTTGCCGTAAATAGTCGGACGAACTGGATTCGTAACGGTTAAAAAATTTTACGGCACCGTGGGGAGGTCGAACACGCGCATAAATTATCGCCCCCGTCAGATAGATAACTTCCAACTGAGCGAAAATGGCGGCGGATTCACGTTACGTGAGTTATACGGATTATTACAGTTATCGGCACTTCGTAAAGAAATTTAAAGTTAAATAAATAAGAGCCGTAATGTTATGCCCATTATTGAAACTCCATTATTTGGATTTTTAATGTAATTAAGTGTTCGAAAATATTTTAAATGTAATACCGAAACTTAAGCGAGTATATAATTATGTTTTAAATAGGAATTTCTACCGAGAAATAATTACGTTAATCGGACGAGCGGCCATTATAGTTCCGAATTCGGTTCGAAGTTGCCAGACACGGGGAAACTCGTCGTCATCGGCCACCTAGCGGATAAATAGTTTACTCCCGATTAAGTTGGAGGAGGACCGTGCAGAGTAGGACAACAAAGGCCCCGGGCGGATAAATAGTCGCCACCCACCAAATTCGTTGAAGGGCGTGGGGACCATCGATACGATAGGAGAAAAAGACGAGCGGTCGTTCGATGTGGCAAATTGCATCGGGGGTCGAGTCGGAGGGAGAGCACGAACCCGGCGGTGCCCTCTTTCGTGATCCGGGCTCATCGATCACCGAGACCGGCACCACGCCCCGTTTTTAGCATCTCGGCGTTTTTACGACGTTCGTCGCGTGGAAACGGGTCGATAAGCCCCACACCTGCTAAGGAACGGGCGCGCATCGGCCCGATCGTGATTTATCGGTCGCACCGGTTTAACGGATTCGAACGTTGAGTTAAAGTAAAGACCGCCGTCCTCTTTGGCTTAATTATTAATCGGGTCGGAGCCGGCGCGAGCGACCCAACCCGTCCGACCACACCTCCTCCCCGTTAGTTAAAGACGACGTTGCCAGACGGAGCCACCTTCGCCCACACTCCTTCCGTCCCTCCGTTTGGCCCCGAGCAGTCGAACTCGGGTCCGTCTACGGGCACGACCGAGCGCTCTCGAACCATTTTCTACACCCCCGGACGCTCACGTGACGGACCGTGGGAGAGAGAAAGAAAGACGCGACGTCACGCCATCCCGCCGCCGTTTCTTAAAATTCGTTGGGTCTCGGCCGGCGTTGCGTCGACGACTCGCGCGTGGATGGCCTCCTCTCTCGTCATCGTTTACAAAACGTCCCCGACGACGTCACCATTTTGTATCCGAAGGGGTATCGGGCAGGCAGGGAAAAGCCAAGATGTCTAAGTCCAAAATGGATTTGGTCTTGGCCGAGCTGAAGGCCAGCAACCGGTTTCGGAGGTGCCCTCTTTCTGCTTTTCTTCCATCCCGAAAACTAGAACTATTTCACCTTACACTTTCTGTCTTTTGTATCTTTGCAGTTTCGGCAAAAGGTCCGGAGGAAGCGGAAGAAGGGTTAACGAATGCCTCATCCTGGAGCCTTCCGAGATGATCGTGGTGAGTATTGGCTGCACTTTTTTTTCTTTGTTTACGAGTTGCCATCCTCCCGCCCTCCCACGTCGACTTTACCCACCGAGAGACAATTACGGGGATATTTAACCGCACTTATTCTATCTTTAGAATCTGATCGTTTTGGCTCTGTGCCCTTCGCCGCGGCGGCGAGGCCGTTCGGACCGCTTCTCCATTGCTGACGCTCTAAATCCGTTCGTCTGCCCTTACTTTTTGTGTAATATTCTCAGGTGGAAGTTGCCTTTAATTTTCCTCTTACCCCGAGGACGAGCGTCTATCCGAGTGGCTTCCGCCTCGTTGCCTCTAATTCGATCCAAACTCTCCGTTTCGTCCTGCCTTCGGGACATACGAAGAATCGTCGATGCGACCGCGTATCGACGTCGACGTCACTCGCATTAAGCGAGTAATTTGTCATTCCGCACCACCCCGGGGGTTAGAAGATTTAGCGTAGAGGAGAACCGATGCTGTTTCTTTATTAGTTTACTCTCGTTCGCTTCCGGACGTAATCTCGCCCGGTTGCACCCGAGAGTTCTACGGGGGACCGTCCGAGGGGTGACGGACCCGATTGCGTCACCGTCCGTCGAACGGAGTAATTGCTTGCCCGGCTCGAAACCTCGACCGGTCGTTAAGCGGTTTAATGTTGCGCCTCTAAATATAATCCTTGAGATAGCGAGAAAGATGCTAACACAATTCGGTTTTTGGATACTTGACAAGCGTAGCGGGGAGCCGATTTTAGAAGAATTCTATTGTTCTTCCCATGGTGTGACAACCGCGCGCCACCATCCGGGTCTTACGCCAGTTATTTTCGTGAATCCGGTCCGTGGCCGGAGAATGATTAATCGGGGATACGCGAGAGCAAACGGTGACAACCCCCCCCCCCTTCTGCACTCGCTCCATCGCGCGCGGTGGCAATTCGTATCCAATTAGGAACATTAACGAGCCGGGGTCGAACTTTCGGCTAACCCACAATAGCCATTCTAATACGACGAAGTTTATTACCGAACGACGTTAAAGTGGCTAATTGCGTGCGAGGAGTTCGAAAGGTCGCGACGTAAAGGTTTCGAAGTACGTGTAAAAATGATAAAACGTGAGTGAAACGTTAACGTCTGAACGAGAGACAGGTGTAAAGGATCGGAAACACAAGGGAACGAGCCACGTTCGCCCACTTACAGTGTTTCGAGGTGTTTAAACGTAACTAAAAAATGTCAGGGAGTGCGAAACTTTCCGAAGAGATCTGTAAAGTTAGATGATGCGTGCGAGTGTATTTGCGTATTTCACATCGTTTTTTACAGACCGTAAAAAGAAACAAAAATTAGGAAACTTTACTGTAAAAACGTAAGAGTAATTAAGAGAAGTAACTGGCGAAAACCCCGTAAAAAATGCATCAAGGTTAGATTATGCGTAAAGGTTATAAACTGCGAATTATTTAAAAATGTAAGGGTGTAAAGTCGTAAGTAAAGGACATAAAAGATGACAATGAACGTGGTAGAGGAAGCGAAGTACGGGTTTCGCCTCCGAAAACAAGAAAATAAAGATTAACAGATTTAGAAGGTTAAATTCCAGAGTCGACATTGCGAAACGTTTCGGTTTTTCGTCGTCGAATGATTTAAAAAAAAAGAAAAGAATGCTTCCTCTCCCCCGAGAACCGAAGTACAAGCGGATTAGTCGAGTAAATCTGTCGATAGACACTTGAGTAAACCGAGTACCCGGTTAAAAAACCTTTGCAAAAGTAATTAATTAACCACCTTTAAAGAAAGAAGAATCGATTACGATGATGGATGCGCCCATTAACCGCCGGAACGGACAGCGATAACTGTTTTCTACTTTTTCTCTCTCTCTCTCTCTCTTCTCGCTCCTATCGAACATCTCGCTAATAGCAAATCGATAATCGAATTTTACAAGCGCTTCGTTTTCCTTCGATTATTTTTCTATCCGGGCGCGTGGTCATCTCACTTTCCCTCGGCATCAACACCTGCCTGTTTCCATGGAAACCGGCCGGGAACTCCGAACCAGTGAAAGAGCGTGAGTCACGAAAGACGTGGATCTCTTCTCCCTACCTCAAGAGCCGCTAGCGGACGAAAGGAAGTTTTGAGGGGGAAATCCTCCTTTTTACTTCTATCACGCCTTAGTAAAATTTTCCCTAATACCCGACTGACCATCGCCTTACTTTAACGAAGAAGTACGTAAGAAATTCCCTACGATTTTCCCTAAATTATGTAGATTTTTCCCTACATTTCTTCCAGACCGAAAGTTGTCGAACGTCGAGCGATCTAGATATTTAGGTTATGGGTTGGTGTCCCGGGGTGTTGCCGCAATTAACCTGTGGACCGGTCGTCCTAACTAGAAAGACTTTTTTTTTTATCGCTCTCGCCGATACTTCCTGGCGAGTAAAGTATTCCTGGCGAATTTAAAAGGTCACTTTATCGTTCTGGGCTACTTGGAAAAGTCCATTAAAAGGTGAAGGGTTAGACCGAAAGCTATAAAGATAGCGAGTCTCTTCCGGAAGCGTTTCCTTCCGAGCACTTAAAAGAAGATAGCGATAGCGAGAGGCGATTACGAAAGCGACATTCTTAATATTGTTTTAAGCTTCGATGGGTCGAACCCGAGTCTGTAGCTGGCGTGATCCCGAAATTTACGGAAGTCGACTCTGCGCGAGGTGACGAAAATCTCGAGATTCGCTCCTTGGCCACCGGAGGCGTTAAGTAAGAGGAAGCGGTTTCGTGACGTAACCGAATGACTGGCCTAACCGGACGTAAACGAGTGGATGTAGCGCGGCCTTCGATAACGGGACGTTGCGTGTGTTTTCGGGCGGCGATGTCGATGCCGTCGTTCGTCGTATGTGGACAAGAACACGCGCGTGGATGCTGCGATTGAATGCGACCTCTGACCCGGTGAAGGGAGAACGATCCGCCCACTCGATTTTGAAGGCGCGAGCTAACTGGGGTAAGTTTGGTTTTCCATCGTTAACGTCGTACTAATGTACGCTCTTATCCCGGAACAAACATAAATAAATGGAAAAACACGGCGCATTTCTGTGTTATAAACGGAAGATACGGTTTTAAAGTGGCGACGGTCTGACCCGTCTTCATTTTTTGGCTGCCGGCGCGCGCGTCGTAGCACCCCTTTTCCCTCGAAAACGATTGGCGAAGGTCGCCAGAAGGATAGCGATCTCGACAGAAACAGTTTCGTTCTCTTAAAAAAATATAATAAAATAAGCAAGTAGTAGTTCGCCGGGGAGTGACGTAAGTCGTTATTTGCGTATTAAGTGGCGAGGACGAGTCCATCTTCGATTGACTTCTTCCTCTCTTCTAAGAAACCTCGGAGATTGTTTTTGTTTCGTTTCCAGAAACGAGAAGCGACGCGATGTCGCGTCGCCGTTTCTGCTCGTCCAAAAAAAATCGCTAATTGTTGCTCGTTTCCTTTTAACAATTTCCGAAAGTTGAATGACGGGAAGCGAGGGAGCGGAAACGGGAAGTGCGTGTCGTTAATGAATGAATGAATAGCCGGATAGAAACTTGTGTATTGTCGCCGTGTTTTGCGTCCCGGATAGAAAAGAAAAAAAAAAAAAAAACATTGCGAATTTTGTCGCGGTAAACCCGGCCGGTCGTCGTGGCAACCTCCGTCGGGGGTGGTCGCGTAGGTGGTACCTGAAGTAATCTTTCATCCCGGTCTCAGGTAAGTCACTAGGTGAACGGGATCTTCCGGAAGACGAGACTAACAATCGTCACGCATCTCTCAGGTATGCTAAAAGCGACTTTCTCTCGGACTCGTCCTCCCGTCTCTAAAATTAATCGCGGGCATTCTCCTCCCCGCCGGATCGAAATGTTACCTACCCGTTGCCAAGCGACCGGATTTTGGTCATTATCCGTTTACCCGACTAACGTCGACCCTCCCGCAGTTTTTAAACATAGAATTTTATTTCTCTTTATTAACATTTTCGTTCCTAATCCGGATCGCTTCGTCTTTTATTAAATTGTTTTGACTGAAACAAAAAAAAAAACGGGAAATGTGGCAACCCTTTCCTCTGCGCCAGCGTATACCGCGCATGCTCGCCCCGGGCAATTACCTAATTGGATAATTTGAATTTAAACGCTTTTTTAACGATTCTAACCTCCTGCATATTTATGACTCTGTAGTGGTTTTTCCTCCGATATCTGGGGGTGATTTTTCTCCCTGTTTCTAATAATCTCGATTTAGCGCAGCGTTTTCCTCTCCCCCGACTATTTAGTTTGCCATGAAAATTCAATTTCCAAAATCTCTTTGACAGTTTAAAAAAAAGTTAACAGAATTTCTCGACACGTCCAGAAAAGATTTATTTAAAAAAATAAAAAAAATGCTTTTTAATCCGATTGATTGGCGTGCCCCTTACGGCTATTTGTGGAAACAAAATTAAAAATCCCACTCGATGATTATCCGTGACGTCTCTCGCTGTTGACGAACGTCTTCGATTATCCGGCAGATCGAAATTTTATTTTATTCTCCTCGAACATAACTCGACATGCAATTATCTAGTTAAGTCGTTTAAGATGGAGAATAGTAGTAGTGTTTCCCGACTAATCGACGCTTTTAACTGTTTAATTCGAGGGAATTAAATCATGTGTATATTTAAAAAAAAAAAAACACGAGAAGGCTTCCGCCATCTTGTCCGCGTTTTCTTTTTTCTGTGTCAAATTTTGAGTGGCGGAGAGTCGATTTGCATCCGCGATCGAAGACGGCGGAAGTTTTTTTATGCTCGAATGAACGAATTGTGGCAATTTACTGGTAAATTCTTGGCTCGGTTTTGAAGAATTTGGGGCGTCGTCCTCGCCTTGGCCTACAAAAATCTGTCCTTCGACGCCAATGTACGGCTGTAACGCAAATAATCGCTCCTCGGGTTGACGTTTATTTATTTACACACGTGACCGTCTAGAAAACGGACGATGATTTAAGTAACGACGAAAGGAATTTGCTCCGGACCGATGCCGATTCTCAAGATGGCCGACGGTTTGTTTACTTCTCACGCATGCCCAGTTATTATTAATCCGCCAAATAACTCGTGCCGCGTGACGTGTTGAATTTGAATTTATGGTAAATCGCCATCCGATTGGTTAATTCGGTCGATATGGTAATTTAATGTAGTATTAGTGATGTTTGGGGAAGCTTTTCGACTTTATTATTATTTTTTTTATATAATTTCTTTCTGTAAACGTGACGACGTGCAATTAATGGAGTAATGTTGAGTGTTAACAGGTTCTGTGTTTTACTTTTAAAGTTTACTTTGCCTTTAATCGAATGTAATTCTTTAAAGTGTCGATGTCGAAAATTGATTAGATGGGCCAATATACTTTATTGGGTAATCAATACCCCAGTTGAATCTTTCACTCTGAAATTTTTCCATCCTCTAATTATTTTAATTAATTTATGATGTATTCTGGGTGTTTATGGTGGGGCTTGGAATTTTCTGGGTGCGGTGGGGGGAAGGTTCATTTTATGAAGTTTTTATTGCTCCCCGATACTTTGTAATTTATTTTTATCATTTATTTGTCTAGAAGAATAATAACTTTTATGAGAAATTTTATAGCATATTTTTTTTTTTGGTCCTATAATACAAAAATCCATTACCAAGAGAGTAAATCCGTTCGCGTTGTTCTCCCTCCTTCTCCGTTACCATGCGGAGAAGTGTACTTTGGATAAGGTTTCTTTTCGAGTGGGATATTAAGTCCAATGGTGGGTCGTAACGTTTTTATTGCATATTTCTTTCAGATTGATTATCCGGATGTCCAGCTGATGCGACCCGGTCAACGTCAGTCATGCACGACTATGAATTTGGAGAAGTTGCTGGCTTTGGAGCAAGAAGAAGTATCTGTTGCCATAGATTCCAGACAGCACGTGCATTTGGGTAGCTTCGAAGATCAACATTTACGACACTTACAGGTTTAGTATTTGAATCTTTACACATCACACTTGTCAGAAATATTAAAAGAAAAATAAAACATTATTCTTATGTTTTGTATGCCTAATTAACAAATTACAATAGAAAAGAAGTAATTTTTTTCTTATTCCTGGATTGAATAAAATAAAATAAAAAATTAATATTATTTAACAAGAAACTCCGATTACTCTTTTGTCATAAACACAATCATGAAAAGTTAATGTATTAGTTATCATTAAAGAGAATGTTATATCTTTCTTCTGAATAACCAAGAAATTAGTTTTTTTCTGGTAATTTTGATGCATAATGATGCAACTTCTTATGACCTAAATTTGATGTTATTATGTAAATAGCATCCACTTAATCACAATTACCATTTGGGCTAAGAAAAATTACTAACAATTTTTTGAGATCTTTTAACTTTTTTATGAAATAAACTGAATTTATTCCTCAAATTTATTATATATTAATTATAAATAAAAATCTTCATTATTTAAAATAATGTTGCATGTAGGCCTATCACTATGAGAAAATTAATATTGAATATACTATTTAGTTAAATCTAGATTACCAACCAATGCAGACAATGTTGCACCGAAACGAAACATTGCTGAAATCCAACCGGAGTTCTCACAGCAGTGACAGTTCTTCCGCATATTCCGGATCGGACACAATGCAGTCCGCACAATCTTCACTGGATGAACAAGAAGTAGATCTTTCTGGTTTGGTTGAAGGCATTGTTGATTCTGATGAAGAAGAAGAATCTATTGATGTAAATACAAAAATTTAGTTATTTATATATACATATTGTTAGTTACTATTACTTGAAACTCCACTTAGTGGCTTAATTAAATCATCTCCCAAACAACAGTCAGTTTAATTTAAAACAATCCTTATTCTACTTTATTTCAAATTTAAATCAATCTTTTGTTCTTGTAATTATGGAAGTTAAATTTATTTATCTTCTTCATTTATTTTGTGTCATATTTTATTATAGTAGGAAGGGAAAAAATCTATTGTAGTTAAAAGTGCAAAGTCTTTCCAAGAAAACTTAAGCCACATCTGTGATAAAGGAAGATTAGTTGGTAGAAGCAGGGAGCCGAAATAGCTTTTAAAAGCCATCAATTACTTAGCCATCAAAAGCAGTTCGAGCCATCGTAACTACATATACTTGATTTGTGTTCACTTAATAATTCTTCCAATATGGCTTACAAATATTTGAGTTGATTTATGGAATTTCCTCTGGCTTTTGCATGGGCAGCAGATATCAGAAATGGTTTCAAATCCCAACGTTGTAAACTTTATTAGTAATAGTTCTGTGAAAGTATTGAATTATTAAAAAAAATTGTTCCTATTCCTCTTGATGATAAATAAAGATAAATACATTTAACTTGCCATTTTTTGAATGTGCTGAAGTTACATTTTATTTGTAAAATTTGATAAATAATTATTTTCATTTTTATGAAAAATTTTTTTATTTAATTTTGTCAAACTTTATATGAAAGATGTGTGATTTTACTTTAAAATAAAAGTAAACTGTGTGGATTAGAATAGTTTTCAATTTTAAATTTATTTTGTAAAATGTAGATATGATTACTTTCAGAGCCTTCCCATTAGAGATCCTTTAAGAGAATGTTTAGAAAAAGAGCCATGCGATCGAACTGATGATGATATTGAAGTATTACTTGAGCTACAGCATTTACCAGTATGTTAGTTATAACATTATTGATGGAAAGAGTATTAAGAATGGGGAAAAAATAAATTTGTGTTAATTTTATTTTAGCCATTTGCTAATATGACACTTGCTGTAAGAAGAGCATTATGTGCCGTAATGGTTTTTGCAGTAGTAGAAAAAGCAGGAACGATAGTATTAAATGATGGCGAGGAGTTAGATTCTTGGTCTGTGATAATAAATGGGCATGTAGAGATTGAATTTCCAGATGGAACATTACAGGAACTCCATGTTGGAGACAGGTTAGTATTTTTCAAAATAGATAGTATTGATACTGATAGAACAGAAGGTAAAATATTATTAAAATTATAAATTTATATACTTTAAAAATATAGCTTTGGGATCATGCCGACCATGGAAAAAATGTATCATCAGGGCGTGATGAGGACAAAAGTTGATGACTGCCAGTTTGTGTGCATTGCACAAAATGATTATTATGCTATCTTACATCAGGGTGAAGAAAACACAAGAAAGCTGGAAGAAGATGGTGAAGTGGTACTGGTAACTGAACACAGAGTTCTCGATGGAGGAAGCCGAAGGGGTCACGTTGTCATAAGAGTAATACTGCATTAATAAATTATTTATCATCATCAAAGAAAAAGTTGAAAACTAATTTTAATCAAATGACAAACAGGGAACCATTGAAAGGATGATGGCTCATCTGGTAGAAGATAACGCTATGGATCCTGGTTACGTGGAAGATTTTTTGTTGACTCAAAGGATATTTATTTTTCCCACAACCGTAATATCTGATCATCTTCTCCTTTGGTTTGGCGATCCTTTACTCAGAGATAAGGTAAAATTCATATTTTAAATTTAAAAATATATATTTTTTAATTATTATTTAAAGTTATAAATTTAATAATAATAATAATAATAATAATATAAATAACCTGCGGGTAAATAGCACTTGTCTGGTGAGAACCTCACCGGGTACCACAT